ACGCATTGGAAATGTCATTCCACCTGCGAACAGTTGGTAATATGCACTACTTTATTGTCACCTCATTAGGAGTCAGACCAAAACATGACAACTCCGAAGCCTTGCCCTTGTGAATGAAGTACACACGCACAGCAAAAAATGCTCCACTTTTGAACGCTTAAGGTTGATTACTTAGTGAACGACTCATTGATCACCTACTGAATTGCCATTTCAGTTACCATCAATCGGTGATGTACCAACTGGGTTCAGTGTCCGGTCACGCCTCATCGTTGTGGCAAATAGAACACACCAAAATCAAGTGGTGCGCTGGCTTCTTTTCGTGGGAGGATGCGGTGCGATTGCGCCACGTAACTACAGGCCGTTATTTGGGGATCACGCACTCGAGTGCGGGTGGAAATCCCTCCGCGCCTGGCCAAATTGATGTGGTGTTGCTTTCACCCTCCGAATCGGATGATGCTGCAACGGTTTTCTACATCAAGCAGACTAAGGTGGGTGGACTACAGTTACTTACCCACTATCAACATTAATAATATGTTACGAATTCCAACGCTGGACAAACTGCAGTAGCGCTATCCAAGCTAATAACTCTCCTTTTGTCGGAGAAAGTGAAAGTTAATATGTGAAAAAGTTATACCGAATTGCATTGTTGACGAAGATCGGACTTTCTCGCCTCTAGGGTTTATTTTCCAATCTCTTTGTGCTTGTCAGGATGACAAAAAGAAGGTAGAAATCGACCGCGAGCACGAGGGTATGGGCGAGCCAGACGTATGCTTAGGTGAGACTCTGATCTACCTCCAACACGCAGCCTTGGGTTGGTGGTTGTCTTATGAGTCCTACGAGACGAAGAAACGCGGTGTGGGCAAGGTGGAGGAGAAAAAGGCTGTTCTGCTTGCTGAGGGTCATATGGATGATGTCTTCAGTTTAGTTCGAGCACAGGAGGAGGAGTCTCTGTCTGCTGCTGCTATCCGTCGCTCAACCGCTGTATTCTCTGCCTTCAATCGTAGTCTTGACGCTCTAGCCAGTGCAGATGGGCTTGGTGGTGTTGGTGTCGCTGCAGGCAGCGGTGCAGGCGCAGCAGGTACGTCATCATCTCCAACTCCGGGTGCTGAGGGCGTACCT